AAAAAAAAAAAAAAAAAAAATGTTGGTCCCTTTTTACAGAATTTCATAGGAGGCAATCTGTAGAGGGGGTTGTCAAGTTATACCAAGTCTTGATGTTGACCTTAAATCAATAGTTTCTAACCAGTTACTTCCAGGCAGTATTCTTCCAGTGGGACCCTCCATTATTTATGGCTGCAGAAATTATCCGTAGAGCCATGTTTCTTCAGAGTGCTGAAGAGCAGTATGATGTTGCTCTTGCTGTTGCCATAGGGCAGTTAAGGTTACAAGTCATTGCTTGAATTCCTTATCATTCCTAACCAGGGCTGTCCCTGGGGGCAGGGGAGCAAATTGGGGCGACCGCCTTGGGCCTTGTGCTTTGGGGGGCCCCATAGAGGTCCTGCCATGTGCTCTGGCTGCTTGCCACCCCTCCCTGGTCCCACATGGGCTGATACCTGCTTATTGTTGAAGGAGCAGTAAAATATCCTCCTCTCTCTCCAACTTTGGAAATTTTAGAAGGTGTAAAATTAGTTTGTGCAGAAATTTAAAATACCACTTATGGCAGAATGAACAATTATTAACATCTCTTTCATTAAACATCTGTTTAAGAAGTGCTGCATTTAGCTACTTTAAAGTTAAATGCCTACAGGAGCTAGACGGAATAGGTAAGCAATAGGAGGGTGATGAGTCTTGATCTAGGATCAGTCACCTGATTTAAAGAGCCTAATGTTCCATCAACTACAAAACCTGCTGAGGAAAAGGATGCTTGGGCTTCCACAGCAATTGCATTTGCTACTGACATGCTCCTTGGCAGGTCGTCTGATCAGAAGTAGAAAGTAGGGCAATAGCAGATGCACTGAAGCAATCTACAGATTTGGAAGGCAATACAATCTATACCTGCATTGAATTCATATTTCTAAGGATACTTGTGTATCCCCAAAGTCAAGAAAAAGTTTTTTAAGAGGAAACTTAAACTTGGCAGAAATTGACTTGGGTCCCCAACCTTTCTTCTCAGTTTTCATTTGGTGTTAGGGAAATGGGATTTTTTTCATTATTGTGATGATGAGGTTGGTTATTTTACTCCTATTGTTGCAGAATCAAACTGTCTATATATAATTTTTTATTATTATTTTTTTTTTAAGGAACCAAAATGTTAACTTATATGAGTAAAGATAGTGGAACCATGAAGAAATCTACCCAACTTACTTGAACTAAATTCCCCAAGAAACTGAAGTAATGTTAAGTACTGCTTTGCAGTTTTACTCAGTTTTGCTCACTGTCCTAAGGAGTCCTGGAGGTCCACCTTGGAAGTTTATAATCCTCCCAAAATGGCTATACTAATGGCTAATAGGATATCTTTTGGTTCCTAACTGGTTGCAACACTGGCTGTGGGTTCATGGGACTAGAGCACATTATATAGCTCAAGTTTTCTCCTTTCTTTTTTTTTTTTAATATTCTGTTGGAAAGGAGTTGAATAAAGGGAGCACGTATGAACTCTGTATTTAGTTGAAGAGCAGTTTGAAATGTATCAGTTAGATATTCCATGAATTACCACATCGATTTGCCATAGCATTTGACCACCTAACATGAAGACACCAACTACTTCGGGTACTAGAAGTAATATAGCCTCATTGGTCTAGCACTCTTTCTGAACTTTTTTTTATAAGTATACCTTTTAGTAGGAATAATTGACCTGTTTGGAGTTCTGTGCTCCTGCAGTTGTGCTGCTTGAGCTAGCTGTGTTTTCTGCATTGTGCTAGGGTGTAACTGAGGAAGCTGAACTTGATCTCATTTGATTCTAAGTCCAGTCCTTTGTCGTACTTCCAAAAGAGCCTGCCTCAGACAAGACAAAAATAGGTACCAACTGGTAGGTCAGTTTTTCTGGTACTGCAGCTTCATTTAGACACGTGACATAGACAGTGAGTAAGTAGTCACAAGACAAAATAAGGAATGGAAAATCACATTGTGGTTAAGTTAATAAATTCCATCTCTTCCTTAATACTCTTCTTTCTATCAGGTGTCACAATTGAAAGCATCAGCCAGAGACTTGTGGAAAACAAGACTAATCTACAAGCCATATATATATGTTAACTGGCTTGGTGTTAAAGCCTAGAGGGGGTTTGGCATTTGAAAATTCAAAGAGCTAAATCTCTTTTAGATGCTGATGTTCAGACTTAAAGAAGTGCATCTTTCAAGCATGAGGTTTGGCCAGTGCATGTGGTAATTCCTGGTTTAACATTCTGCTGAACAAGGACAATTGCTTATGCCAGTTGTCAGTATTAGCCTCAACCTTGAAAGTTAAGCACATTATTGAACCCTGTTCTTAGTGTTGTGGCTTTGTGCTACAAATACAAATAATGCCATAGAATTGCCATGTTGAGACTTCTGGGAGAAAGCATCACCTCACTGAGGCTGGTAAACTTGTGTGAGTAGAAGCAATTTCAGCTTATTTTTAGGAGTCAAAGGGTTTATGCTAAAGGTTTTGTTTTTTTTTTCCTTTACGTTTTTCCAAATACATAACTGTTCTTTAAAAAAGCATGCAAGTGCCTTGGGGTTTAGCTTGTTGGGAGATGAGATTTTGGAAATATGTGGTCTCTTATTATCATGTTCTTAACAGCTGTTTAGCTCAAACATTTCAGAGAAGCAATGTCTGTTGAACCTTTTAAACAAAACTCCTCTGCTCAGTCTTTATGGTTTGTATTATACTTATAATTCTTACAATCCTATGAGTTACAAATCCCTCAGTTCTGTTTCCCAGTGTATCCAAGATGTGCATTTTAATTTTGCAGCCAAGTACTGAATTAACAAGCAGAGGATTGACAGAACTTTCTTATACATCGTTGGTGGCGCTGTCTGAAGTGCTTAGCATTGGCTTCATTTTTGCTAACTGCTTTTACTGAGACCGTCTGATCAGTGCCAGGTGCTTTAGAAAACCCTACCTGATTTCTGTGTAGAATCTTTTTAGCATGGTTGTCTTTAAAGAATTTGAATTGTAGTTCTGAAAAGTTGTAGATGATTTGTGTATCTGTTCTATTTTTACTTGTTTCTACTTGCATCTTTTTTAGGAGTTTTTTTGAATTGCTGCTGTTCTTTGGAAAAGATGAGTTCTACGAAGATCCTTTAAAAGATATTTTAGGCTCAATCCAGGTAAAGTTAGTCATTGCCACCTTATGTTTACTGAATGCAGTTTTCATTTGTTAAAGTAACCATCCTGCTTGTAGATAAAACATTTGTGAATGTTAGAGTGAAATATTTGATGGCATAGGTCAACACAGGGAAGGAAAATTATTAGTACCTTTTGATTTCGATTTTTTTTTTTTTTTTTTTTTTTTTTTTA